ATTAATTAGCCCAAAATAATGTAAAGTTACTTATCGCAAATATTAATTCACCCCACAAAATTATAAATTTTAAATCAAACTTTTTATATTAAATTTTTGGCACGCTTTAAACCAAAATTTGTTTAGCTTGCCTCGCAACAATTCCAACCCCAAGAATGAAGAATTACCAAAAATCAGGGAGGGATTCACATTTCATAAGTGCGGATGATATTCGAGGTACTTACAATGAATTTTTTACAATTTAAAAGAAAATTTTGGGGGCTTGTTTATTGGGATGAGCGCGAACGCAGACCTCACACTTAGAAATAGCGCACTCGAAATGCCCATATTTGGGGCGATTGCAAAGGTCAACCCAACCAGAGTGCAATGGAAGGGCCTCACTCTGGGAGAATTTGGGGTGAATTTTACTAAATATAAATTCCTTTTAATTTAGGGCGAATTTATATTTTGGGGTGAATTAACAGAAAAGCCGAAGCTTGCGAGCAACGATATCCGACATAAACGACATACAAATAAATCGAATAAAACACAAGCTTCACAACTTATGCACCCAGAATAGATGGATAGAAATCTTGTTTACAACATTTCTAATATCAAACTTTCTATCATTGAAACGGGAGTTTGGCTTAAAATTGTGTGTGTGTGTGTGTGTGTGTGTGTCTGTACGTTTATATATTGGATCGGATTTCCTACATTTTTCAACCGATTTCAACAAAACTTCACAGGACTACGTAAAATTACATTGCGGTGGTTCTAACGGCGCCAAAAAATAGAAAAAAACAATTGTTTTTGCACGAAATCAATTTGAAAACACGATTAAGAGGCATCGCGAGAATGAAAGGGGGACAACTCATATCGAGTTACACTTATTATAAAACCCAGGTTGTTTGTGTGTGTGTGTGATCGTTTATATATGGGATCAGATTTCCTACATTTTTCAACCGATTTCAACAAAACTTCACTTTTTTTGGCAGGTAGTGTTTCTTATTGTCTTGCACACTTTTTTCTTTATTTTTACATTCAGAATGCTTTAAAAATTCCATTTACAAGACAATTGTTTATAATAAAATTTTATTCAATCGGTAGACTTATAACGATTGAAAACAATGTTTTTGTTTGAGTTTGGGTTTGACCAATTCGTAAAAACAAAACAAAACAAAAAAAAACAAACCAAAAACACTAATTAAGACATGCGTGTCCGTCAACCTTAGGCAATAATCTTTGTCAATTTTATTTTTCAGTCTTTATGATGGTCGATACTTGATCTATCTCTTACTGTTACATCCCCGGGCAACGCCGGGCTCTACTGCTAGTATTAACTAAAAACCATGGATTCGACCACACAGAACTTGAATATGGTTTCATACAAATATATCTTGGTAGCTACCCTTACAAATAGCGATGTAACTGCATTACACAGGAGATACTGGCATTAAAAAACATATCCAGAAATAAAAACATAATCGTAACTCAATCCGATAAAGAAGGTGGAATAGTTATAATGTATACCAACGTCTATATTGAAAAATTAGAATCTCTTAAAGTACGACAACACTTGTAAAAACCAAAGAACAAACAGTAAATATAGACACAACACTTAAGAAACTATTAAAAAATGAAAAGAAATCCTGGCCTAGACTAACAGAATACCACCCTACTACACCTACTCTATACGCCTTACCCCAAACACACAAACCCAACATACGCATCAGACCCATTGTATCCGGAATTAACAGTGCACCACACAAATTTAGCTAAAGTTACTGCAAAATTCCTAACTCCCCCCCCTTAGCCACCATCAACCCAACACATATTAAATACTCTGGTGACTTAATCCAGGGGATAAGAAATAAAGGGTGATTCATTAAAACGGATTATATATAAGGGTGTTTCATTAAGACGGATCAAAGTCAGCAGTAAATAAATCAGTGTTATTTGTCAAAATTTATTTATTTCTCTATTGGATCATGTTATTTCAATCATAGCAATTATGTGTGAAAAATTATATCGCCCAAATATCCGCTAAGGCTTCGGCGGCACACCTCCACTCGATGGTCAAAATTTTTGATGACGTCTCTGCATAGTTGCTCTTCGATCTCACCAATATGCCTTTTTATCTCATCCTTCAGCTGTTGAATTGTTGTTGGCTTAGACCTTACTTTTGAGATGACCCCAAAGGAAGAAATCTAAAGGCGTCAAGTCGCACGATCATGGTGGCCAATTGACTTCGCTGTTTCGAGAAATGATGCGACATGGGAACTTCTCATTCAAATTTTGTTTGAACGTCCATTTTCATAATAGGCTTCGATAACTTTAATACGTTGTTTGATTGTTAATCTTTCCATGGTTGAAATTGCCAAAGACTTAAGTTGTTAAATGTGAAAGAAAAAGAAAAAATATCATTAGACGCTTAAACTTAATTCACATTGAAAATCGGTCTAAGTTATTGGAACACCCTTTATAAACATGGAAGACAAGTTTATGGCTAGTTTAGTTTCAA